GGAAAAGCTTTATTTTTGTCCTGCACGACGTGCTTAGCGCGTAGCGGGCGTCTGAGTCCACGTAAGGACCAACAGGGAGTACGTGGTGGCCGTTCCACGGGCCGGCTGAACGGCCCAGCAAAAGAAAGAAACAATGATTTAGCATCACAGTGCGTCTACAAAACCCGACAACGACCATTCACGACTACTACCGGGTAATTCAATGGTTCCACCTTTCAATAACTCTAGGAAAATAACTGCTTGTGAATATGTTCGTGTGCGTAAAGAAATGCTTCAAGTTCAGGCTGTGGTAACGTTGTGTTCAAAGAGTGTTAGCATACGAGACGTAATCATCAGAAGGTTGTCGACAAGATGAGTGAAGAAATGAGCGCAATAGCCTTCTGGTTGAGGCACCGGAACGTGCGCGGTGTGAGCGCAAGCATATACGGAATATCCCGTCGTCGTCATCATCGCGTGCGTGTGTATATTTACAAGCTGCTTCGCAAGGTGACGCGACTCCCGCAGCCGATACGCCGCCGCCCGCGTTAATTCGGCGCCGATCTCCCCCTCGGCACTACGTCACGAGTCAAAAAGCGACGCCGTGTAACGGCCGACCATGCGTGTACACCGCGTACAGCCAGCGACGCGATAGGATGGGAAGACCGCATCTCAGGCAGCGCCATCGTCTTCATTCATCCCCCGCTGCCAGCCGGCACCGAATGCTACATGGCCTTAATGGGTCATGGCAAAGGCATATATACCCTCTTGCCTTGCATACGAGTGCTGCCTTTCGGAGCTTCGGTGGGTCTCTCTTTTCTTTCTTTTTTACGTTATGATTAACGTTCGCGGAAACACCCGTGCGCATTCCACTGTGGTGTTTCGTTGTTGCATTTTCTTCCTGTACTGCCAAAAATCTTGATGAGATTAAGTATTCAACCGAGTACGGTGTTCAGATTCCCTAAAGAACTCGTTCTTGCGCTAGTTTGTGCTTGCTATTAATCATGTCAGAAAGACATCAAACAAATAGAGAAACGGACAGTGTGTGTACTTGTGTCTCTGTTTTCTGTCTTTGCGCTACAACACGATTATCATCATGGGAGCAGCGGCACCTCCACTGTATTCAATGGGAAGATGCCTCCCGAAATACGGAAGTTGAGCAGCAGCGTCGTCAACGCGAGCCATGCAAGAAAACATCCCATGATGACATCGGCACACAACACGACAGTTCGTCAGCACTATAGTGACATCGCAATGACGTCCTCACGCCGCATTTAAGGCGTCCCATAACGTGACGTCTCCTTACAGTGTTACCAATTGGCATCTTAGTACTCAAGGGTGGGTTAATCTCTGAGGAAGTGCAAAACCAGAGGAGGAGCAGGAAACTTTCGAAGAGTGGCAGGATGCATTAATACTACACCGATTGAGAGGCAAAAGAGTTCATTTTTCAGTCGTTTTAGTCATAAGCATAAAAGACCCTGTACACTTTTAAACGTTAACATTCTCATATGAAAGCTGTCAGAGGCTGATATCCGAGTTTGGCGAGAGCAGGAATTTCAAATGGCAGTGGGAAGACCACCGCCATATCCACAAAGTGAGGGATGTTAGAGGAACCCTCTAGGAGGTGCACGGGGCGTTTTTTGGCGAGACCATTTCTGTATAGAAAGGCTTGTTGACGAGTCGGCGCATGATGTATTCGTCGGAGGCCATGGGTTTTTCTAAAATTAACTAGAGGGGGCTCTGGCGCTGCGATAGATCAGCGACCATGGGAATGAGTACACGGATGTGCCTTATTTTTGTACTTGCGGGCCTGGAATCCCACTTGTGGCCTCGTTTATTGCTGTGTTTCGGTTTTGTTTTGAAGGAAAGAAGGAACCATATTGAACTTCGTCACTTAACTAGAAGTGGTAAGTCTAAAGAATCTGGTGAAGCGCAACTGCTGAACATTTGCCGATTGTTGTTTCGTGACAAAGCAGCTTCAAGCCATGCGAAACCAAAAGGAACGTAAAGTACGAAGACTAGGCAAATCCGTGTACTACCCATAATTCCCATGCTCACTGAAGCGCCGTGCGTTGCAGCTCCCATAGACACTGGCGCCATTGTTACCTCTAGTGTATATATTGGAAACTATGTTGGGGACAGCGTTGCCGGGCACGTTCCGCGGCCGGCACTGCACAGGGTTGGCCGCGTCGATCAGCACGTTAACCACCTGGCCCTATATGCCACACTGGCCGCTGCCGTGAGTCAAAAGCCTAACGCTCGTACCTGGCGGACGTGGAGCTATCAGGCGTTCTTCAACTCTGTTGAGAGCAGGCAGATGAGGGGGCTTGGGAGCAGGGACTCCGGAAACAGGGGGGCTGTGGGGGCCGTCGCCCCCCCCCCCATTAACAGTTGCTACGACCCCTCCCCCTCCTATTCTTGCCTTAGCAAAACCAGGGATATGCATTAATGCCCATATCGCACAAATGTCGCCCCCACACTTCAGAATAGACCTCTAGAGCACCTGCTTGGGAGGATATCGGTTCCCGTGCCTAACACTCGTCGCCAAAACTTTTCACGTGCGGCCGAGCCTACGAAGCGACGAGAACGAAGTGGAGGAGGAGAGTGCGTGGACCACCGAAAACTGACGCCTTGTAAAGAGCCTTCATGTGATGTGTGCGCCACGGACCTTGATGTGCTCCTTCGGAACACGCGCGCACATGAGGACTTTGAGTGGTGGCGTGTCATCAAGCGAGCATTGTTGAAATCACCGGAGAGGTGATTGGAGCGGTGACCTTCAACAGCGACGGGAGAAGTGTGCAGACTGACAACACTGGAATACACGCCAGCGGCAGCCGGACAAAGCGCGAGCTTTAAGAGCAAGCTCCTAAAAAAGAACGTTCTCTTTAACCCACTTGCAGCTGCACGTGGCAACTTCAAGTCACTATAGGCTGACTGGGTCAACGCAAATATATCTCTCTCTCTCTCACACACACACACACACACACACACACACACACACACACACACACACACACACAGAGAGAGAGAGAGAGAGAGAGAGAGAGAGAGAGAGAGAGAAACTGATTTCCAGTCACAATTGAAAGTGACTACGCAGAAAACACTACACAGAAACGACGCCACCCAGGGTTGGCTGAATTGTTCCTAAATGTAATTAATTTACATTGGTAATTACTTTTTATCGCTTTGAATTATGTAATTGATTTAAATTCTCAATTGCATCTGCTCGAAAGTCATCGCATGACATGTTACCTTTTAAATGTAACAAACTCACTTTGAAGTTACTCCAACGAATGTTCATCACTTTTGTAACTAACTCAGGGCTGTGACCTTGCAGCAGTTCATTAATCAATGCATCAAGTTCGGATTGTACGCAGCCTTTGCGGGGTCTCTGCACCAGTTACTGATCGTAACGGCTTCAGTGGGATGCGTTCCTCTTTTTGGTGGACCCGGCGCACGCCTATGCGACACAGCCCGAGGACTGCGATATGTAGCAAATTTGCACTAAACATGAAGCGATCATACTTGTAGGGGTTTAAGGCGTCGTCAAAGTACCCATATGATCACGAGGCGTGCCTTAATGGAGGGCACCGGCAATTTAGCCGACATGAAGCTTTTTAACATGTACCTAAAATACACATGTACACGTACGTGGACCTCAAGCGATTTTCGCCTCTATCGCGGCTGCTGGGGTCGGTATTCGATCCCGCGACTTCCGGGTCAGCAGTCGAACACTAAAACCACAAGGCCTGAAGAGATCGACTCTTGGCCAGCGCTGGTCCCGGCGAGGTGGACTTCTTTTGTCAAGACCACGCAGGTTTCAACATGTCGTTCATAATCAAAACAGCGTAAAAGACAAAGATGACCACAGGCCAAAAGGAGTAGCGGATGATATTATGAAGGCCTCAACCTCTCCCATTCATCATTTCAATAATAGAAAAACTACAGGATAAGGCGCTCGACTAAAGATATAAACTAGTCTCGCATTAGCGGTGACAAACCTGAAGTGAAGCGCGGAGCTGGGCGACCTTCTTTTGAATTTTCTCTCTTTCTAGTTTTGTTTTTTCTGCCACTTTTTCTCTATTTCCACTTTCTATTTGTTTGTTTTTAATACCTATTTCTTTCTCTTGGTCACTATATATATATATCTTCTTATCGCGATTTTCTCTTTATTTCTAGCTTCCAAGCTCTCTACTTCTTCCTCGTTCTCTCTTACTTCATTTTTCTGTCTTGGTCTTTTTTTCATATCCTTGCCTGTGTGTCTATTTCTTTAACTGTGACCTTTTTTCTCTTACTTAGCTGATCTTTTTCTCACTCTCTCTCTCTGTGCTCATTCTCTGTATCATCGTAATAACCACGCCTAACAAGTCGACGCGCGTGTTCTGGGAGTGATGCAGAAGCATGATGCAGATGGGAGTGATGCAGCCGGGTGAAGAGGACGAAGAGATAGCGTGCCGATTTTCGGCTAGCTCTGCACGGAATAATGGCTATTCTAAACACTCCCTCTGCTAAATAGGACCCGACCTTGCCACGGCGAGGTCAAGGCGCGGATTACTCCAGCGACCGCATAGACATCGGCAGGGTATCTTGGAAGTGTTCCTAATTGGCTTTCGCAGAGTGCAAGCAGCGCCATGGAACTCCTCTTATACGCCCCACATATTATAACGACTTATCTAAGATGCTTAGTTAATTTATTTACAGTACCCTTCAGGGATTTCTTACGAGGGCATTACATAGGCGGGTGGGAGCACAAAAAAAAGAAGAGGAAAAGAAAGACAAAATCAATACTATAGTGCACGGAATACGCACGTCAGACATGTTAGGAAAAAAAAAGATATCACGGAATCAACACATGCTAATGGCAGGAACATGAAGCATAGCACAAATATGAAGATTGGGCATTCATTATTTACGACTAAATAACAAGTACATAGTAGCAGAGTGTAGATGTGGTATTACATTAAAATCAGACAGATCCAAAATATGGTATTGCATGCGTAACAAAACAGGTACAGCAACGTCAATCTAAGTCGAACTGTTTTAATGGAATGAAACTCTAGAAAGCTGTCATTTATTTGCAGTTGTTATGGAGGATAGTAAGTCATTGCGTACATCTACTAAAACCAATTTCGAATGAAAACGTCATCAACATTTTTCAACGATGAATTTAGCCAAACAAGCCAGTCTTCCATAGCCCTGTAAAAAAAAAAGGTCATTTGATTCTTTCTAGCGTCTCCTGACTCGCCACTTATAAACCGTTTTAGAAGATACACGTGAACTTGGGTTCTACGTCACGACACTCCTGAAAGTTTTTTTTTTTTTCACCAAAAGAGTTCAAGTGTCTTTTTAATGAGAGTCATATACGTAGCAAGTCGCAACTGAAAAAGAAAGAAAAAGAAAGACAGCGAGCTTTTCTCTTCTGCTTATTGTACGCACGCTTGTCGTTCCGCCACGGTACCCTTCCTCGTCCAGTAATTGACGAAAGATTGAAGTGATTGTTCAATAAAGCGTCAACTTACATCTTATTCAAGGTCTTTTATATACAGTAGTGGATGCTTATTACTGTTTCTTTCTATTTGTTTACTTGCCACCTCTTCCTCGTTAGCGCCTACATGCCAAACCCGCCCAGATCGGTGACAGATACGACCACGGCATTCGGTCCATGCACGCACAGGCGACAAAATATGCGGCAGCCCCGCACTCGTAAGTATGGAGCGGACAGGGCATCTTTATCTTCGTCAGACCAAGTTCCAAAACTCCTTCGTCACTGAAAGACGCTTGGAATCTCGCCCCTTGCACCTGCTCGACTTCGCAACACTGGACAGGTGTGTTTAAAATTATCTGTTTGGTTTTTTTTCTTACATCGGAATACCCGCTGCATGCTTAGAACTGTAGCAGCCATGCGGAAAAGGATTGGGGTGGGGGGGGGGGGGGGGAGATGTTAATGAAGAGGTGGGGACTCGGTATTTCGTCTCAAGCCCACTGATCGCGGCCGGCCGCGATTTCGCTTCAAATGGACAATAAAGTGGATCGATGAATCTAGTTATACCAGGGGTATCAAACTTGTATCAGCTACCGGATAGCAGTCGTGAAATTTAGTCCTGGAAAGTGCCGGGACAGAAAAGAAGTTTAAAGCGGGCAGGGGAGGCGAGGGGACGTAATCCTCATTGGTTTTAACAATCCAACTAGAACAGACCGGGAACTTGCGGCACGCCTGTCGACTATCGTTTTTCACGACGCCTCCTCTTTATCCCTCCCGCTAACAGGACACTGAGACAGCTTGCGCGAACCCGTGACCTGAAGGCCTTCACCTTTCATGAACTATATATCGAGAAAGTTACGTCGCTCCGAAAGAAAGCGAAAGGGAAGGAACGTGCGCTACATGATCGGCCGAGAGCACCAGACGGACATCCCTCTTGTTCGTGCGTTCGCCCACCGTAACAAGCAAGGAAGGGGGAGGGGGGGAGTTTACGGTCATCCTCTTTACCAATTCCGTCACGCTACATCCTATCAGAGTCTAAATCAATTTGCAGTTCGCACACGCCATGCGTCCAGTCACGCTACAGTGGAGCGTCCGAGTGGTCGCCTCTCCCTCCCCTACTCTGCGTCTCTCCCTCTCTCCTTCATCGCACGCCGATGGTGCCAAGATGCGGGCGATCTCTTTGTGCATTGAATGGGGCCGTGGACCTTTCAAAGAGTCGTGGAGCAACTGTGTGCTCAGAAGATGCACTGGGAAAGGAGCTCGAACGATCTGCAAGAGACGGAGGACCATCGCATTTGAGTGACCAGAAATGGCATCCCCCCCCCCCCCCCGCCCAGCCACCTCAGTGAACATTGTCGCATCCCCCAGAAAACAAGCGGGCTTCATTCGGGAGGACATTAAGCATTCGTTCACCTCGGCTCGGAGGCGGCGGCTCTGAGCCGATTGCTTTCTCCTGGTCGCACCTCTCCGGTTAGTTGAGCACAGACCAGCTCCGGTTCACGTATTTATACGAGGGTGCATGCATTGCTCGACTGCTGGGATGAAGTTCCGCTGCCTGGGTTGTGGAGAAGTGCTGTCCGGATGGGATATTCTCTGTTAAAGAGGGAAACGTGTCCTGGCAATCGCTTTTCGCACATTGCAAATGTTTACGCGCGTACAATACGATAGGCTTTGCGAGAAACAAATACAAGGGACCTGAAAGCGCGTGAGATATATTTGAGGCGTTTGAAATTCGCAAGAAGCCAAGCAGCATATCTTGATTGACAAGAAACTTTGCCATCTCGACGACATGAGACTGTGATCACGTGTCATGTATTTGCCCTAATTCTGATCTACCACCAGCTGTCGAATAGGACAAATTTTTATGCTTTCGTGCATCAATGTTTCTTCCTATATGTTTCTTCAGGTATAATCACTTTGACACACGCCTGCGTTTACGCGCTCTTGTCGAGTCGATATTCGCTTCTCCGTACTAAAATTTAAAAAGTACCAAGTTCAACCGTCGACGCTTCAGCTCTTGTCATTTCTTTCGTTCACTTATTTGCTTCATTACTTTCTCCCCATCCCCTCCCCGGTTCATGAAATATCTTGCCAAGAAAAGGAAATTAACAACCAATCGTTTGTAGCACGAAGTAACGAGGAAATCTAAACAGATTTCTCAGAAATAGCGCGCCTAATAACCCTGTCACACGGCAAATATGTCATGTACAGCGAACGTCATTCGCTTGTAATGTCATTTGTTTGCTGATACGAGAAAACTAATGACATTCGATGAAAATGACATTTTCGGTCGACTGAGTTCCCGAAACACATTCGCATTCAATTTCGGGCTGAATGAGTATATTGTCTCGACGGCAGGGACTTTTAGGGAGATGACTGTTAGCTTATCTAAACGTAATCTTGATCATTTGTAAATGTCTGATTCTTAACTATATCAACTTATTACTGGTTTGATGACATATTAGTACGCGCGAAAGTTTCTAATAAACAAAAGCTACTCTTAACGTTCGCAACTACAGTGGCTGGACGCCAGCCATGAATTTTTTTTTTTCTCTGCTGTAGTTGCCTGTATCGCGGATGTTGGTCGTCCGATTGCACGTGTTCTGGTGAACAAGGTAATGACTTCACGAAATCGCTGCCACCGTCTCATTTCTACAGCCGGGAAGTCAGTCATGTTCAGTTCACTCCACTCACGCCCGGCCATGTAATTTTTCGAGTGTGTCGTGCTGATGTGGCAAGTTGTGTAAAACGGCCGCGTTTATATTCTAGGAGCACCTTTTCGCCCATAAAAATTACTTTTGTGAATACACACATGTTACATACAAGTATTAGTATATTTCTATTGCTCCCAAAGTCCACGGCTCAGGAGGGATAAAGTCGTGGTCATCATTTCAGAATGACATTTATTTTCGTCGAGTGACAGCACGCACATGAAATGACATTAGGTCCGCCTAATTTCATTCGTTGTAAATGACATTAGATTTGCCGGGTGACAGGGGTATTAAGCTTTCCTTAACCGTTGCGCCCCTTTGATTGATTGATTGACACGTGGGGTTTAACGTCCCAAAACCACCATATGATTATGAGAGACGCCGTAGTGGAGGACTCCGGAAACTTTGACCACCTGAAGTTATTTAACGGGCACCCAGATCTGAGTACACGGGCCTACAACATTTCCGCCTCCATCGGAAATGCAGCCGCCGCAGTCGGGATTCGAACCCGCGACCTGCGCGTCAGCAGCCGAGTACCTTAGCCACTAGACCACCGTGGCGGGGCGTTGTGCCCCTTTGCCGGTTTCAGCAGGAGTGACTTGCAGTGCACGCTAGTGACAAAAGTTCAACCTCCCTGCCTTTCGTACTTTCTCTCTCTCCCCTCTATCGACAGAGTCCATTGCTGCTGGAGACATTCACTGCCGTATTAAACACGTCGAAGGTTCGTTCTCCGGAGATGGAGTAAATGATTCCATTATCCACAGACATGGACCATAATTGTAGCGGCGGCGACAGTTTCTGTCGGCCAGATATGGAGAAGAAGACGTGCGCTGAACTGGACGCTAGCCATCCACACGCTCGTCCCGAAGCCGACTATTCTTCCACACCCACCACCCGCACGATGACCGCTGCTATCTTTTTCGGAGTGGCTATTAAAAGAGAGAAAAGAAGAGAAAAGCGAGCCCCGTTATCTTTTTCTTCCGAATTCCTCCTTCTGGCAAAACGGTGTGCGGGAAAAAAACCGGTCCTCCGGCCATGCATATGGTCGCGCGACAGACCGACCACGACGCCGTCCGTCGACGCGACGCCCAACCAACCAACCCTTTTTTGTATCAGTAAACCTGATAGGACACTTATGAGAATTCTGCCTGGGTGGAACGGGGACCGCCGTTGGGAGAACTCACATTTATTCATAGGCTGCATGCAACCGACTATAAGTCTATCGACTTGACAAAGTAGACACCTGTGTGTTCTTCATATTTACTGATTGATTGATTGATTGATTGATTGATTGATTGATTGATTGATTGATGTGTGGGGTTTAACGTCCCAAAACCACAATATGATTATGAGATACGCCGTAGTGGAGGGCTCTGGAGCCCTTCACTACGGCATTTGGACTACGAAATTTCTGGAGCGAAATTTCGGCCACGTGGGGTTCTTCAACGTGCACCGAAATCTGATCACACGGGCCTGCAGCATTTTCGTATGTTTCAAAAATGCAGGTATTCGATCCCACCACCTGCTTCTTTATATTCAGTGAGCCAGCGGTGAGTCATGGGGTTTGCCCATTTTGAGCCTCGTATAGGCTTCCGCTCTTTAAGAAACGGCACGCCCTGGCCACATACGGCCTCGCTGTAAAAATATCCACCACTCACAATGATTCATTTTAAAAGGTCATTTTCGGGGGTTCGACACTCAGCCCCTGAGAACGGGGCCCCAAGTAAAAAAGCGGGCCGTAAGTCTTGCGTACTGTCTACTTTCGGGTGCTTCTTTTAAACATAGCAGCATGATGCGGCCAAGTAAAATCCTTTCTCCCTTTGTGCATTGTCCCGGTTCCCGATATAAAGCCGCCGCGGAACGTTTGAGGTTCCGGACTGTACGAACAGATTTCAAAGGGACGATGGCGTTTCTCACTTTTCTAGCCGTCTTCCTTGTGTGCGGCGTTTTACTGCCAGTCAAGGGCCGAGACGCCGAGGTGGAAACCGGCGCAAGTCCTCGGGGTCCTCTGTCATGGCTGTTGCCGAGCTGGGGTGGCTGGCGGAAAAGTACGTACATTATTTTGTGCACATAGGTTTCAACTGTAGAGCGCAGGATCGAATGATGCACGCTTAGAAAACTCGTATCCTTTCAAAAAATAAGAACGCACTAGATTTATGCGTCAGTTGTATCGAGCTTTATAGCTAGCAAATAGCGTAATGGGGAGGTTCAGCACGCCGTGAAAAAGTCAGTGTGGACTCTTCAGAAAACATCTGAGAAGTCAAAAAACGAGCACGTTATTCTCTCCTTGTGTTGGGCACAATTCGTGACAGTCTGTTCGCGTGACTTCATGAGGTAGTAAGCTCTATAGCTCATATACGTGCAATGTGAATAGTCTCCCAGCCTGCTTTGCAAGCTCTGCCGTTTTGCTTTGTCTCGCATCATTATCATGCGCGGTCGACTGATTTCACTTCGCTTTGTGCGTTTTCCATTGCGCAGGCAGATGTAACTGCGCGTAGGAGTGAAATTCTGACTGGGACACTCCGGAGCAAAACGCTTTATCGCGTATTATTGAAGTACAAGTTGGCAATTGCTGAAATCACGACACGACACCTGGTAAGCGAGAAAACGCGCGAAGAGGAACTGCGGCTGGGGGAGACACCACCTTGGATTCTCGGATCAAACACTCTGACGTCATCGATTTTCGAAGGCGTCTACTGGTATACGTAGCTTCTAATCGATAAAAATGAAGTACATTGCCTGTGCGCGCCATAGACTTAGCATACGAAATCTGAGAGAGAGAGAGAGAGAGAGAGAGAGAGAGATGCTCGTATGAACATGTATAGATGCTCGTTTGCGGTATGGGAGTCGACAATGCTATCTGTAATCTCGCTTGTAATTGGCCTAGGGAATGTGGTTTCGGCCTGTCCAGGTAAATGAACTCTCGTGTGGCACGTCCACCAGCTCAAACAAGGATGTCATCAATGGTAGAAGTCGTAACATGGGAACACGGGTTCGCTAAGGAGAAGCACGGGCAGCACTTCTCTTCTAGTGAAGTCTCATCTCCACTCACTTCATTACAGAACAGAAAAAAATATGGCAGCATATCCACGGGGTGAATGATAAAGAGTGGGGCGAAGCATCCGTCCGTTCATTCGTTCTTGCTTCCGTCTGTGTGACCGTCCATGCATCCATCCGCCCGTCCATGCGTTGAGTTCGTCCATGCATCCACCCCTGCCTCCGTACATGCGTTCCTCCGTCCGTGCGGCGATCTGTGCGTCCGTCCATGCATATGTCTGTGTGTCCGTTCGTCCATCTAGTCAACACTCCAAGTACCACCATCTCGCATCTTTTCATCATATATTCCCTATATAGAAGCACCGCCATCCAGCGGACATTCAAAGGACTAAACGAGAGGTGGCACACGCACACTTTCTTACGGCTTGCGCTTCGGGTCTACTTCCCACCTTTAACCACCTCGAGTTCTTGGTATATACTAGTTCATTGTATTCATGGCACTGCGGCCCAACGCTCGCTAAACCTTTCTAAAACCAAGGAGGTTACGCCCAGCGAGTATAACGTAGCAACCCTTTCTTGTAAGATAGCGCTCAATTTACATGCCAATGGCTGCTAACGGGGAATGAGAGACAGGGGAATTCGGCTTTTAGTGAACGCGCACGCTGCGAATTTTTTATTGTTCAACAGCGCACAGGAGAAATCCCCCCCCGGCACCACCTTGCAGGTCAAAGCGTAAGACATGTTACGCACTACGACGAGGGGCGAACGAGTGCCGGTTTAAAAAGCTTCGCCTCTAAAAAATGGCTAGTGTTACAGCATGAAAGCGGTTGTAAACGAATACTATCCTGACCGATATGAGGTGAAACACCGATTTCATGTTCATTCAACGACCTTGTAATTTACCTAACGGAATGTGACGCGTTCAATAGCCAGATATGTCTTTTCCCCTTGTGCACGTATTGTCATGAACGAGTTGGGGCTTGCCAACTGTGTTTAGCCCCTATGACTTTCGAAAGGTAATTTCGAGTTGGATCTCATATTCCTGACTACAGATGGTCAGGATGATTAGAAGAACATTCGAAGTGATGTGCGAGACGAATTCACTATCAAAACACAGAGCAGATATGTGAGGGTATGTGACCTTGCGAAACAGATGGATGCGAGAGAATTAGCAGCGGAACTGTTTATCTTCGGCAACACTCCGGAGAGCGTTTCCAAAACCATCATCATCATTCCGGCACACGCTCTCCCACGACGCCAATTGACCATTTGTGGAAAAGTGAGCGCCCCCTGTCGTGTAAACAGGAAAGCTTCGCTTTTGGTTGGAAAACGAAACGCTTGTTTTGTTGCTTTAGGACCAAAAACGCATGCCCGTTACTGGAACAAGAAGGTAAAGGAGAAAAACATTCTGTTGACGTTTGTATACACGGTGTAAAACAAGAATTTCTCGCGTTTCAGCCTGAGAAATAACCAAGTGAGGTGATACGTGCACTCCGCTACCTCGACGGTTCGCCAGGCTCATTACGCCTGCTCTTTTAAGAAGAACATTATGTTATACACTTGAAGTTGAACCTTGAAATGTCTGTCGATTAACTATAGGTTCAGTGAGGACGGCTTGTGCACCGTCTGTGAGGTACGGTGTTTGCGTGAAAACGGCAGTGTTCGCCGTTACTACGGGTCATATTGATGGAACGCCAGGCTGATGTTTTCCAACCAAAACCAAAACGCCTGTACAGGAACGCTACCTGCGCGGTTACTGCTCATGCGCAGTGGTTTTCCCGCAAATGGTCAATTTGTGGGTAGCAAAAACTCGGACGGGTGAGAAAACTAGCCCAGAAGGAGAGAAAGGAGAAAAAAAGAGTCAGAAAGACAGGTCAAAAGAAAAAAATACAAAGAGATAAAACAGATAGAAATGCAGAAAAAGAAATAAACAGACGCTAAAACAAGTAAAGCCAACTGGAGTTTTACAGACGCACACTTTAAAAGTGCTAACACGTTTCTTACAAGACAGCGGAATTGCTAACAAGTACTAAAAAATAACGAACTTTCATTTGTATAACACATGTGCTTATTATGAGCAGTATCATATGACACCCATCATATGTGTGTGCTGAAGTGAATGACGTGTCGACTGCTTTGTACATACCAGCGGATGCATCTTCATAAGAACCAGACGTGTGCTCTGCTGTTTTGTGCTGGTTGGATCGAATATTAAGGAGGGACATTATCAGAGACTTCATTCGTTGACTTTTGAACATTTCCTTATTGCTGTGTTGTGATATGTGCGTATGTGTTTTGCATATGTGTGCTCTAGTGTTCTGTTTTACATGCACCGTTTCGTATGTTTTTCTATTGAGATACGTGTTCAACTTTCACTCAAGGGCTAAGGCGTAGCCGGCGCCATACTTGTGCGCCAACATCTTCTTATAAATCATATCAATAAAAAATAAAATAGAGAAAGACAGAAAGAAAGAGAAAGAAAAGTGCAGAACGGGAAAGGGCGAGAGAGAAAGAAGAACTAAATAAAAAGTAACAAAAAAAGAAAGAAAGGTGAAGATATATGAAGAAAGAAAAAAGCAAGGACAAATAAGGAAAGCGCCCAGTTCCGCTGTGGTTTAAGCCTTGCGCCACTATAGTGCGAATCGCATACTCTTTTACTCGAAATAGTAAGCAACTGTAGCTGGATCATCATCTTCATGGAATTTGGGATTGCGGGGGCAAATTGACACACTGGCTGTGTCAAATTTGACTGCGCCAATAAATCACGTGAAGATGGACGGATAAATGTCACATGTGAATAAGAGCTGAAATGACGCCGATAAGCTCACGCACATTAGTAAAGCTTTTTAAAGAATTAGAAATATTGCAAACACACTATATCAGATAAATGTTATTGCTCGCACGGATAATTATGACTATCATCTGCGTTTCTGTGTAAAGCTTGCTGTACTAGGATTATATTTGTGAACGGCCATTTATACGTGCGTTTTGTACTGCTTCATGGTTATTGCAAATTCATAAATCAAATCGTTATGTACATTGGAGCCAAACATAAGCAACAACCTATCCTCAAACACATTTAGTTTAAAAACAAAAGAAAGCAACTTGCTATACTAGGTCAATAAGCATTAAAATTAGGCTATCGTAGGAGTACAATGTTAATGATGCCTGTGTTAAGATTTTATTTATTTATTTATTTATTTATTTATTTATAATATACTACCTGTTCAATTAGGGTCCTAGCCTGAGAAGTAAACGTGCAGTTTAAAAGTCAATACTTAAGTCCTATGTACATACAAAGAAAAATAAATTCACATCACATCCACGGAGTGAATGATGATGAGTGCAGTGAAGCATCCATCTCTCTATTCCTCCATCTGTCTGTCCATCCGTCAGCTATACGAAAACCACTAACGCCATCTGGTGATATTATTTCAAAGGACACATACACACAACGCCTCCTATTATGTGATAAGAGAAACGCTACTGGGTACGCCGGAGGGACGATGAATTGCCCTAGACCATAAGGAGCATCGCCCCTAAAGAAAGCTTGTTGCCTAATTACCACAGCCAAGTACAATTTAAATACATCGAATTGCAACAGAAAAACATGTAAAGAAAATATGAAACAAAATACGCGAAATACACATACCTTAAAAGAACCAAGAGTAACCTTGGAACTCGATTATTTTTACACAACGCAGTATTCACAGATGTAGTGAATTCCATCCACTAATGTTGTGTGGCAACGAAGTAGAATTGGGTTATTGCCGGTGCTATGTGGTGCTAGCAATATTTCATGCGTTGTAGTTTGTGATGTCTGTTTTATTGCGTAATGTTTATGATTAATAATCTGCGATGTCTAGAATGGAAGAGAAATATCAATTTGCCAGTTTCCTGTCGTAATTGTAATGATTTTATACCTTGAAGATTCATTGAATGAGTAGAATAATTAAATGTCACTGAATTTTTAAACTCGTATACAATGTTGCGGTATCATTATATATATA